GGGGTAGGGAGAATTGCTTTTGAAGGTCAGGAAATGGCTTGATCTTATTGCCCTCTAGGAGGTCGATCACCCTGTGTATGCCCTTGGTTTTCCATCCTGCTATCGGCAGGTCTGGGGAGAATGTGGCTAAGATCTCCAGTGGTGCTGCTCTGTGAAGTGAGTGCGGGTCTAGGATTAGGTGGCTCCAGAGTTGCCAGGAGCGCAGCAGAAATCGATCAGTTTTGGGGAGCGTATTTGCCCATAAGGAGTGTGACGTGTTCTGTGGGTGCATACAAGCGTCCTCCAGTGGTAACCATAATGGTTGGTGGGTTGAGTTTGAGAGTCTTAATATTTGTACCAACTAATAATAATCCAGGACATTATAAGCATTGATTCAAAAACCTCTATCATTAACAAAGTAGAGTTTTAAATGATTGGACCAAAAGAACTAATACCTTAGACGAATAAATCATGATGACGAAAACAATAATATTAATCTGACCAACTTGCATTTAAATTATGCATCTTCTATTAGTACATCAATATCTTCATGATATCTCAATTGAAATCTAGTCCAGTAAACTAATTAAATCTAATTAAAAACACATCACAGTATTTGAAATTACCAAGGGTAAAAAAGCTACGATTAGGAGTCGTCTTCTAATCAAGATAAGATATTCTAGACAGCTGAATTACAATCAACACGGCACCTTTCGATTGGCTGCTGGTCACTGATCCCACGTAGGGCTTAGAGTTTCAAAACAGATACAGAGTCAGTATATCTTTTACCCCTGACGAAGGTGCACACGCAGTGCACCAAATGCGCGTCGGGCAACTCATCACTTCACAGGGCACACTATTACTTCAGTGTATCACACCATGCAGACTTGAAGCATGGAATTTTTATAAGCACTTTATTTTCACCTTTCTTTTTCCTATATTTCTGACTATCTAGCAAGATTTACAGGGAGAGAGGCTTTATCTTTTTACTATGCTGCTTTATCTTTTCAGCTAGTTGTATACTTATGCTGATTAGAGACTTCGCTACAAGTGCATTTTACCTTATAAAAACCTTCGATATTTGTCTCATCGGCTAAACTACATATTTTGCAAACTAACTGGAGATAATACTCCTCAAATAGACTAAACAATCTCCCCTACCTAGCTAGCAATTTAACTTTCTAGATACCCTTTCAATTTGGCAATCTTTATTAAAGCCTTCGTTATAGGGACTATTAGTAGTTAATTTGAGTCGGAAGAAAGCTACTTAGCTTTAGAAACTATCCTGACGTATCTTTTTTATTACAACACTTTTTGGTTCCAAGACACATTTTGCAATCGTTTAAAAGCTTATTTTTTCTTAATTACGAATCCAGATTATATCCACATGTCCAAACAGTTCTATGTGTTCTGTTTTCAGTGTGGATATTTTACTTTTTTGTCTCTGGTTAGTATGTGTACCCCCTGCACTAGCGCCGAAGCTCTGTAGTAGTTCCTGATGTCTGGTAAGCCCAGTCCCCCTTTGGTGTATGGGAGTCCTAAATTGCGCTGGGTTACTCTAGGGGTTTTTTGATCTCCACTTGATAAAGCCTAAGGGCGAAACGCGTTGTGGTTTTTTAAACTATATTGTTTTAAATAAAGGTATTTTGGCCACTTTCTTACTGTGAGTTAGCCATCTTACTTTTTATTACTATTATTATTTCACTTTTTTACTACTACCATCCTTTTATCCGGCACAGAAGTGTTTTTACTTTCCAGTGAGGATATTACTCCCAAGAATCCTAGGTGGGGATTATACCACTCAAGCTGTATTCATTGAACAGTTAGTCTGTTCAACTAAATGTGAGTAACCACTTGGTTTTTTATCTTCTCACCTCTGGCATTTTATACTTTGAGCACCATTGTTGTTCCCGCTTTTATTTCCACATATGGTTCCCTAATCAAGAAAGAATACTAAGACCTCATGTATCCCATAAGTGGGGATTATACCACTGTACGTTATCAACACTAGAGCTAAGTCCATAGTTCTTTAAAACGTGAGTAGGACCATATACTCTTTTATTGCTTCTACCCCTTTCGGGACATACTATACCATCAGTTGTTATTTTCTCATTTCATATGATGTACAAAGACGCATCTACACCACTCTGAAGAATCCCCCACTACAAAAGACTGTATTCACCTCTACAAAGATATACCTCGTTGTTTGATTCATCTACCAGTCAGACTATTTATTCTGGACTTCTATTTGCTTATTATCTATCATATATATTGCATTCTAGTCTGCCTATTCTGTGCTTTTTTAATTTATGTGGTTTATAGTGGCGCTGCCTTCCTTTCTTTTTTCTAAACAATCTCCCCTACCTAGCTAGCAATTTAACTTTCTAGATACCCTTTCAATTTGGCAATCTTTATTAAAGCCTTCGTTATAGGGACTATTAGAAGTTAATTTGAGTCGGAAGAAAGCTACTTAGCTTTAGAAACTATCCTGACTTATCTTTTTTATTACAACACTTTTTGGTTCCAAGACACATTTTGCAATCGTTTAAAAGCTTCTTTTTTCTTAATTACGAATCCAGATTATATCCACATGTCCAAACAGTTCTATGTGTTCTGTTTTCAGTGTGGATATTTTACTTTTTTGTCTCTGGTTAGTATGTGTACCCCCTGCACTAGCGCCGAAGCTCTGTAGTAGTTCCTGATGTCTGGTAAGCCCAGTCCCCCTTTGGTGTATGGGAGTTCTAAATTGCGCTGGGTTACTCTAGGGGGTTTCCACTTCCAGACGTGCGCATTGATAGTAGATTGAAGGAGTTTAATCAATTTGTTTGGTAATGCTATTGTCAGTGTGTGGAAGAGGTAGAGGATGTGGGGCAGTGCCATCAAACCCTTGTTTTTTTTAAAGTCTACCTAAGATGCAAAAATGTTGGCAATGTATCATGTATACATTCTAAGTTCTTTCTTCTGAATAGCCATAGTAGGGTTCAACCTCATCAGTAACCACCATTGTTTTGGTCAGTGATTACATGGTAGGGATGTTCTTACTATATATTAGATAATAGTAGAAAGTAGGTCCAGGCACTCAAGGTTTCTTCAAAGAGGCAGATTTATTGAGCACTGAATTCACAACTTTTCAGCCTTCACAGAGGCCATTGACAAGCTGTCACCACTTTGAACTAATGCTCTATTTACATAGAAACATAGAAACATAGAATGTGACGGCAGATAAGAACCATTCGGCCCATCTAGTCTGCCCAATTTTCTACATACTTTCATTAGTCCCTGGCCTTATCTTATAGTTAGGATAGCATTATGCCTATCCCACGCATGCTTAAACTCCTTTACTGTGTTAACCTCTACTACTTCAGCTGGAAGGCTATTCCATGCATCCACTACCCTCTCAGTAAAGTAATACTTCCTGATATTATTTTTAAACCTTTGTCCCTCTAATTTAAGACTATGTCCTCTTGTTGTGGTAGTTTTTCTTCTTTTAAATATAGTCTCCTCCTTTACTGTGTTGATTCCCTTTATATATTTAAATGTTTCTATCATATCCCCCCTGTCTCGTCTTTCCTCCAAGCTATACATGTTAAGATCCTTTAACCTTTCCTGGTAAGTTTTATCCCGCAATCCATGAACCAGTTTAGTAGCCCTTCTCTGAACCCTCTCTAAGGTATCAATATCCTTCTGAAGATACGGTCTCCAGTACTGTGTACAATACTCCAAGTGAGGTCTCACCAGTGTTCTGTACAATGGCATGAGCACTTCCCTCTTTCTACTGCTAATACCTCTCCCTATACAACCAAGCATTCTGCTAGCATTTCCTGCTGCTCTATTACATTGTCTGCCTACCTTTAAGTCATCAGAAATAATCACCCCTAAATCCCTTTCCTCATATGTTGAGGTTAGGACTCTATCAAATATTCTGTACTCTGCCCTTGGGTTTTTACGTCCAAGATGCATTATCTTGCACTTATCCACATTAAATGTCAGTTGCCACAATTCTGACCATTTTTCTAGTTTACCTAAATCATTTGCCATTTGGCTTATCCCTCCTGGAACATCAACCCTGTTACATATCTTAGTATCATCAGCAAAAAGACATACCTTACCATCAAGACCTTCTGCAATATCACTAATAAAAATATTAAAGAGAATGGGTCCAAGTACAGATCCCTGAGGTACCCCACTGGTGACAAGTCCAAGCTTCGAATATATTCCATTAACTACAACCCTCTGTTGCCTGTCACTCAGCCACTGCCTTACCCATTCAACAATATTGGAATCCAAACTTAAAGATTGCAGTTTATTGATAAGCCTTCTATGTGCAACAGTGTCAAAAGCCTTACTGAAATCTAGGTAAGCAATGTCTACTGCACCACCCTGATCTATCATTTTAGTTACCCAATCAAAAAAATCAATAAGATTAGTTTGGCATGATCTCCCTGAAGTAAACCCATGTTGTCTCTGATCTTGAAATCCATGTGTTTTTAGATGTTCAACAATCCTATCCTTTAACATGGTTTCCATCACTTTCCCCACTACTGAAGTAAGGCTTACTGGCCTATAGTTGCCCGACTCCTCCCTATTACCTTTCTTGTAAATGGGCACAACATTCACTAACTTCCAATCTTCTGGCACTACTCCTGTTAACAATGATTGGTTAAATAAATCTGTTAATGGTTTTGCTAGTACACCACTAAGCTCTTTTAATAGCTTTGGGTGTATTCCATCAGGTCCCATTGACTTATTTGTCTTTACTTTTGACAGTTGAAATAGAACCTCTTCCTCTGTAAACTCACGTGTAATAAATGACTCATTTATCCTTTTTCTTAACTGAGGTCCCTTTCCTTCATTTTCATCTGTAAATACAGAACAATTTAAAGGATGTAAACTTTATTTGACTATTAACACAATTAGTGAAAAACATATATCCAATCAGTCAATTAAAAAATATGTTGTGCATAAATACATGCATGTATATCATAATCAAAATATTGTGCATCCATGATTAAAAGATAATCAAAAAAATTATAAAAAAACAGACAGATATTAAAAAATAAAAAGAAGATGAGGCTACATACTCTAATTGCTCCATATCTTCAGATATCCCCCCAGCAACCCATTGGAAACCAGAACTAAACACAGGAACTCCAAATATAGTCAAAAGATGGAGCCTTCATTGCTGCCAACCAAACATCTATGCACTTGCCAACCAAAGGTGGAGACGCTGACCAAAGCGAGCTAGGGCCAAACTACCTGCATATTTACAGTGTACAATGCACAGTAAAAAAAATAATAAAGATTAATAATTAATACTAAATATACATAATTATTGAATAAATGAAGAGATGTAGCAACATAAAAATATACAATAACAAATAAAGGATTACTATGTATCCAAATAGATATTCATGTGATATGTAAATAAGCAAAACATAATCAACACATGTATGTTTCTTAAATAAGCCAAAGCTGATCTAAGGATTGATCTAAGGAAATACACATATTAAATACTTATTTTAAGACAAATATCTCAGTCGTGGCATATATATAGATATATTGATATAGATATATATATATATATATATATATATAAAAAAACAATAATAACAATATTGACCAAATAATTAATGTTCAAAATAGTATTCATATGTGAAAAAATAAAAAAAGTTTAGGTGTATAAAGGCATTAGTCTATTAAAAAGTGAAAATCCACTAGAGTGTATAAATCAATGAAAGTGATAAAAAGATAAAAGTGTAAAAAACTGAATTCAAAATTACATTAAGTAATCTTTTAAAGTAGACAATAAAGACATGTGGTGACAGCTTGACAAAGGCCTCTGTGAAGGCCGAAATTTTGCTGTGACGAACTGGACCTCATCATGGGTTCTTGGAGGGGCATACTTGCCAGCCTCTTGCCCTGTGACTATGGCCCCTGTAATGAACTTTGGGTTAAAGACTCTGGTTGTACCTCTTGGACTGATAACAGGAACAATTCGAACTATCGAAGCGGCACTTCGAACTCCCAAAGCCATTCGAACATGTGGAGGTGGCAATCTTGTTTAGTCGAATGCATCCAGCGGTATTTGGTCGTTGCGTGTATGGAACTCAAATCGGACACTCAACGGCATGAACACCGCTACTCTTATACCTTCCATGGATGTTCGACTATTTGAACGGGAGTTGAACGGCATTCGGTAATTAGAAACTCCCGACCAAGAGACATACACTGCCTCTACGCACGAACGTTCGGTATTTTGAACTTTACTTCGAATCCCCAAAGTAGACTGACTGCACAGCCTAATTCTCTGGAATTGTTTTGGGCATGAAACCATGCGTGCGGTTGGTCAAAATGTGATTTCCAGGAAATTCCTGAACCCCTGAACTGATCTGGGTGATCTTTGGATATGTTGGTCACCCAGATCAGGGCTATCAGGGGATATTTGTGGGGATATCATGTGTTTTTGGGGTACTTTGGGGGTTTTGTAAAATATGTGTTTTTTCTGCCTGGAGAGAATTGGGTTAATACAGAATCTGACTCAATTATATCCCAGGCAGAGGGGAAGAATTGTATGTTTGTTATTGTATGTTTGTTATCATGCATTTAATCACCGTTCTTATTGGTCTGTGTCTTTGTGTTGGAGTCCCCAACAAGGTCCATGTGGGCGTTCCCCTTGCATGGGGACTGTCATAAAAGGCCAATGTGGCACCATTAAAATTCAGTCCTGCTTTACCCTCAACATAGAGCCGAGCCTCGTGTTTCTAGGGACCTGCTATACAAGCTATATCACTAGCTCTTATAAGAGCTTTACAGATATACTCTCTTGGAGGAGCGGCCTTCCCACTGGGAGCTGGATCCAGGAGTTTGGTCCAGGGTGTGAAGGGACAGCGAGACCCTCAGCCAAGCTACGGCAGCTAGGGGGCTACAGAGCTGATGGTGACTGGTGGAGTGCTTGGAGTCCTTGGTGAGCACTAGGAGCCTCGATTGACGAAGGCACCCGGTCGGGGTGGCAGGCGGTCCATCACAGTTGCGAATTCAGTTCTCAATAAATCTGCCTCTTTGAAGAACCTTTGAGTGCCTGGACCTACTTTCTATTGTTATCTACTAAATTGGGTTTTGCCAACTGGTCTTTGATGCACCTGGCTTTTCACTGTGAGAGTACGGTATCCTTACTATATATTAGGCCGTTATAGAAAAAAACAAGGAAGAACACACAGAGTGTACACCCGTTGGAATACAGGTGCAGTAAACTGTGTATACCTGGAAATAACAAAGTAGTATTAATTTGTATTAATTTCACGGTTTATGTGGTATCTTCACGTCAAGTAGATAGTTAGCCCACCACTACAATATACTGAGTTACTATATCGGGGTAGATAGATATTGTTTCACTATCGCATACAATGTTGTTGTGTGTACCGCCAGAATAACAATTTTGTGGTTACTTAATATCTTTCTTTCTCCTCTATTGCTCCTTTGAGGATCTAAGAACTTTTTACTCTATTCATAGATATGACGTGGGCACTCTAAGCTCCACGATATCTGTGTTCCATAGTTTCATTACTAGTTGCTCAGTTATAGCTTATATCTATGGCTTGGAGGAAAGACGAGACAGGGGGGATATGATAGAAACATTTAAATATATAAAGGGAATCAACACAGTAAAGGAGGAGACTATATTTAAAAGAAGAAAAACTACCACAACAAGAGGACATAGTCTTAAATTAGAGGGACAAATGTTTAAAAATAATATCAGGAAGTATTACTTTACTGAGAGGGTAGTGGATGCATGGAATAGCCTTCCAGCTGAAGTGGTAGAGGTTAACACAGTAAAGGAGTTTAAGCATGCATGAGATAGGCATAAGGCTATCCTAACTATAAGATAAGGCTAGGGACTAATGAAAGTATTTAGAAAATTGGGCAGACTAGATGGGCCGAATGGTTCTTATCTGCCGTCACATTCTATGTTTCTATGTTTCTATCTATCTATCTCATTCTGTTGAATGTGTAACCCACTTCCATCTATTTTTGATGTACATAGGGCATCATAGGATATAGTATATATTGGGATTACTCGAATAGAATTTATATACAGCATAGGCTTTTTTGTAGTGGTAGTCATTTATTGATTATTTGGCTTTTTTCATTTTTTTTGTTCCCTGTTTGATATATTGAAACAATTATGTCAATACTGCAGCGATAATATAGAACCTGATCTATTAAAGCTCCGAGTAGCTGCCTATAGTATTATTTGGATAGAATTTGACATTGTTCTATCATTCAGGGTTCATATATGTTTTTCTATCTACTTTTCAATTTTGATATTAAGGGATATTTAGCCCCTTTTTAATATACGTATTGATTAATCTTTCTAGACTACTTTGTTATTTCCAGGTATACACAGTTTACTACACCTGTGTTCCAACGGGTGTACACTTTGTGTGTTCTTCCTTGTTTTTTTTCTAAAGTCATTGGGGTTAAGCCCCTGGAGACCCCTGGAGTCCTCGTATGGTACTGGGAAGGCTGGTCTCTACTGGGAACGCCAATCTTAATAGGTGTTATACGGTGGAGATTCGCTTTACCCTTTGTATATTTTTTGTTAGGCTGTTATACCAAACTATTTTGCTGATATTACTTACTGTGTCATTTTTATGCTACACTCTGTATTGGAACAATTCATAATTAAAAAAGAAACAATTTTCATGTATTGAATGTGCCATATAATCACATAAATGAGTATTACCGATACACAATTCTGTCACTCTCATCCCCCATTTCTGTCACTCTCATACACATTCTCTATGATTCCCATTTTTCTTCCTTCTAACACATCTTCAGGGTCATTCATTAAACCATAAACTGTCAGAAATGTAATAGGTAATTGCACATTTTAAGTCAAAACAGACGATTTTTTGCAGTTCAAGTATTTTATATTATATGCAATTCCATGGTCGATGCCCAAAAATTCCTAGTTTTGTGGAAAACCCTGAAAACTTATCTTTCTTATCTTTCTTCACTGAAAAAAATCCTTTCTCCATCACTTCATAGATTGCCACACACTTTTTAAAATTCATGCTGCAGGTAAATTCCTTTCCCTTACATAATTTGGGAAGGATTTCCCTTTAGGCAAAGTGCCCAGGTTCCGTAAGAGCTATTTGGATTAGCAAAGGTCATCTCTAAAGATGAATTCTGCATGTAAACCTGTCTTCCAAATGTGAAAAGGTTCTTCCAGGAAGAGCAAGTATTCAGCAGAAATCTATACTAAGTAATTCTATTTAAAAATAATAATGAATTAAAATGGTATTCCGTTGCCATCAAGCAGATATACATTAAATAAACTCAAATAATGCACCATGAGTATGTACATATGTATGTCAAAACCTAATAACTACAATTATAGCTGTTAATATATGTAGCTTAGAATTTCTCCATAAATCTTTTACACAACAGAACAAAAAACATTGAACATTGCCTATAACTCGTTTAAACCTTTCTCATGAACGACTCAGTTGTCTTTAAATTTACTTTAACAGGGTTATTTATTAAAGTAGGAATTCACAGTTACTTTGAGATTTAAGAACTGAGTAGCCAAACTTAAAACATAGCTGAACTAGAGATTTTTTCTAGTTTCATATTTTAACCTTAAACCTGAAATTCTCTTTGAATTCACATTGACCACTAAATGCCCCCAGATCATTTAGAGACATAGAACGTGACGGCGGGTAAGAGCCATTCGGTCCAACTAGTCTGCCCAATTTCCTAACTACTTTCATTAGTCTCTTATAGCTAGGATAGCCTTATGCCTATCCCATGCATGCTTAAACTCATTCACTGTGTTAACCTCCACCACTTCAGCTGGAAGGCTATTCCATGCATCCACTACCCTCTCAGTAAAGTAATACTTCCTGATATTATTTTTAAACCTTTGCCCCTCTAATTTAAGACTACGTACTCTTGTTGTGGTAGTTTTCCTTCTTTTAAATATACTCTCCTCATTTACTGTGTTGATTCCCTTTATATATTTAAATGCTTCTATCAAAACCCAAAACCATCTTCCCTACACCAAGACTTCAGCCACATATAGATCTCTCTAATCTCCTGCTGCCTCTCCACTATACCACATGGCACAGGTAATATGTCGGAAAATACTTAGGTTTGCTACCTAATTCTCTAAATTCATTCTTTAAGGTCCTTCTTCTTCCTCTAACTTTGTCATTGGTACCAATATGGACCATGACAGCTGGGTCATTCCAAGCCCCTCCCAATAATCCACCCACTCTCTTGGCAGCATGCCAGACCGGAGCACCCGGGACACAGCAAACTGGGATGATAGAAAGAAAGTAAGGGGTGCACCTAGTACAGCCTATATCATCCCCTATAGCCCCTATCTCACCTGCATCCACTACAGCCAATATCTCCCCTATACTCACTACAGTCTATTTTCCCTTCTTTAGCCCCTATCTGCCTACCCCCTAAACCCACCACAGTACCTTCTAAAGTTTACCCATTGCATCTACTACAGCCACTATCCCTCCCCTGCACCCACTACAGCTGCTATCCCCCTGCACCAACTAAAGCCCCTAACCCTCCTCTACACCCACTGCAGCCCTGTGACCCCTGCTAATATAATATAGTGGTGGAAATTATTAGTGCTCCCCTAATTTTGACTGTGTTATCTTTGTGCACCCCCCCTCCCCCCGTTCCACCCCCATGTATAATAGAGTCACCACGATACCCTGGCCCTAACAGCTGTGATTTAAGTATTGAAGTATATGTGAAAACATAGTGGACACAGGGACAGTAGGCACTGTGACAAGTGACATAACACAGGGTTGTTTTTAGCTTTTCAGGGACAGAGCTTCAAGGTGACAGCTGGCAGGGGGTGGGGGAGCCAAGGAGGATGCATAATACCAGCTAATCCAGAATAAAAATAGTCACCCACCCTGCACAGTGATAAGCAGGAGAGGCAAAAACTGCAAGAGAGAAGACTGTAGAGAGACTGCCTAGCACTTTACAAGGTGTGTGTTTATAAAGCCAATTTTAACATTAAACCATGGTGGAGGAGCAATTACATCCCTCAGCAATGCAAGATTTAGAAACTGATGATAGCGCTTTACAATCCAATGAGAATGAGGAGAAGAAGTTAAAAGAGGAGGATGTAAGCATGAAAGATGTCCCTGTTCATGAAGGTAAGCCTTTGGAACACTGTGATACTGTTAGTTTAGTCCACAAAGGCACAGGAGATGCTATTGATGATAAAGTGGAAATTAAGGAAGAAACTTCTCCAGAAGTTGAGGAGACACCGCCATCAAATAATGAGACAACACAAATAACAGACAAAGGCACAAGCTCAATAGAAGAAGACAAGACAGAAGATGAGAAATCCACGAATAACAAAGTGGCCTCTGCAGTGGATGTAGAAACACATGAGAAAACACCTGAAAAAGATATAGAAGAAGATCAGTCTTGCAAAGATAAGGAAACTGAGAGCAGTGATGGGAAAACTGAAAGCAAAGAGGGAAGAGAGTGTACAGATGGTGAAACTCAAAGCAAAGAAGATGGAACTAAATCCACGAATAACAAAGTGGCCTCTGCAGTGGGTGTAGAAACACATGAGAAAACACCTGAAAAAGATATAGAAGATGATCAGTCTTGCAAAGATAAGGAAACTGAGAGCAGTGATGGGAAAACTGAAAGCAAAGAGGGAAGAGAGTGTACAGATGGTGAAACTCAAAGCAAAGAAGATGGAACTAAACAGACTTTAGATGACAATAAGGAAAGTGGAAGTGCAAGTAATGAAACAAACAGGTAATACTCAAAAATAAAACTACGACTAGATGCCAAGTGCATACCATGAGAAAATAGTGGAAAATGTTTTTATTTTCTTAAAACAATGTATTCAATTAACAGCTAAGCCTCAATTATTTTAGAAGCTACATCCTGTAAATGCTCTAGCATAATATGCATTAGAATATAATATTCATGAGTAATTTAAACTGTCATGCAGTTAAATTTAACCCCTTAAGGACCAAGGTTTATCTGAGATGTGACACATTTGTGAATAGGGCTTTCTTTTGATATTCTATATGTGTATATAACACAGTATTAGATAGGAATAAACTATTAAAAATGGGGGGGGGGAGAAAGAAAACTTTTATCAAAAAACATGTACTCTCAGTTTTACATTTAAATATTTTTACACATCAAGTGCAACTAAAGAAAACTAACTCAAAATACATTCATTAATCAGTCCTTATTGTTAAAATTTCCACTATGTCTAGGACTTCAGTTTATTTTTTTTACAAGTCATAAAACAAATATTGCAAGAAGTGAATTGTGATTTTAAAGGACGACTATAGTGCCAGGAAAACAAACTCGTTTTCCTGGCACTATAGTGCCCTGAGGGTGCCCCCACCCTCAGGGTCCCACTCCCGCCGGGCTGAAGGAAGGAGGAAGGGGGTTAAAAACTCCCCTTTCTCCAGCGCCGGGTTCCCTCGGCACTGGGGACTCTCCTCCTCCTTTGGCCGTCATCGGCTGAATGCGCATGCACGGCAAGACCCGCGCACGCATTCAACCAGTCCATAGGAAAGCGTTCGCAATGCTTTCCTAGGGACGCGGGCATCTTCTCACTCAATGAGACAGCCACTAGAGGCTGGATTAACCCATTTGTAAACATAGCAGTTTCTCTGAAACTGCTATGTTTACAGCAGGCAGGGTTAATCCTAGATGGACCTGGCACCCAGACCACTTCATTAAGCTGAAGTGGTCTGGGTGCCTATAGTGGTCCTTTAAAGCTAAAACTTTGTAAAATTTAGCATGTTAACATTACAAAACCACAGAATCCAACGCTGCTACGGAACAGTATATATTTGTAGAAAGTACATTCCCTTAGAACACTTTTCATTTAACTATTTAATCACAAACCTGTGTCAAAATAGTATTTGTTTTGCGTGTGTATGTGGGGGAGGAGGGGGAGGAAGGGGAGGTTGGGGAGAGTTCACACATGTTTTATTATGTGGATTTTCACAGACCACACGTGTACCACTTCCATCTCCCTATTTGTATTCTGCTAATGTTTTCAATTACAATGATACCACATATGTATACTTTCCCCCCAATCCTGTCCCTAATCTAACCCTTAAACCAACCCATAAACTAACCATAATCCTATCAATAATCCAACCCATAGTCTTAATCCTAGTCTTAATTCTGCCCCTAAAACATCCCACCTCAGGTATTCCCTCAGTTGACATCAGTACTGACATCAAAAGAGGGATTTCACAGTACAAAGGGCTATGTGAGCCCTCTCTACAGTGTGATCACAGCGTGAGAGGGGAATCTTCCTCTCCAGGAACAGTGATCAGTGTTGAGCAGCTGGAAAGCCCAGCACTAATCACTTAGCAGGGAGACCCAGGAGATCTACCAGGTACTGGTAAAATTACTGCTCACGCTCTGCTGCGGTATGCTAATTAATTTTAAGGGCTACAATAAGATAGCTCAGTGAGCTAGTGCATCATCAGTAAAATCTGTTCCACCCCTCAGGGGTCGCAAGTTTAAATCCCAGCAGGGTTGACTCAGCCCTTCATCTTTCCAAGATAGATAAAATAAGTACCATTAAATTGGGTAATAGTAACAACCCCTGGATGTTGGGCAAAAGTAACATCCCCAGGACATACTTGAATACCAGAGTAATCTGAATGTACCGTTCTTGGTTAAATACATTATTATTATTATTATTATTATTATTATTATTATTATATGCCACACTCACTTAGAGAGCTGCACATAGCTCATCTGTCAGTCGGGGGCCACTAATTGTGTGTCAAAACTACCTAAAGCTCCCTTTTTAAAAAAAAATTTTTTATTGCTGGCAGGCTGGGGACAGACTCAGAAGTACCGTGGCTATGCGCTATACAGTATTTAAATGTTTTAAAGGTCTATGTGCAGCACCCCAGCTGACAAAGTGGACCCCCTGGTATCTAAGTATACCTAAGATTTCTTGGTACCAGCAAGGATAAAACCCTAGTGCATGAAGCACGATGCCCTGCACTGTTGTCCTTAAGTGGTTAAGAACAAATAAAATAACATATACTCATGACTACGTATTCAGAATCCCGTGTTAGCCCATGAAGACACATGAGAGGGCTCCAGTGGTGTAGGGCCTTGTGTTTGACTTTGTGTGAGAATAGGATACATTTGCCATCCTGTAGTGTCTCACTGCTCTGGAAAAAAATTAAAGCCTCTCCTATTTTTAAATATTATTATTTTTGACAGCCAATTATGAAAGGCTGTGCTCCTATCCCCCCCCTCCCCTCCCCCTCTGGATCGGCGAGGGTTAACCCGGTCTCACTGTGCTGTCGGGGACCACTACTCTTCACATTGCCTCGTGCTGTGGTCCACTACATTTTGCGGTGTTCTGCTTTCAAGATGGGGACTTCCCTTGTGAGGAACAAGCAGGGCATGTGCCCATCCCAAGATACTCACAACAGCTCTCTTGCAAATGCCCTTCTTCATCTGGATGCCATCTTCCAGAACTTCTGGAGGATGATCCATGAGCGCACACAATCTGCACTGATAGAGTAGCGGAGAGACCAGCGGTATACACCATCCAAACAGCCTCACAGTAAGTCAGCCAATACACCCCACCACCGCAATCCTGCAGCAAACCGCTCAGGAGGGAGACGGATTGGCAAGCTAACTCTGCAATATCGGAGGGCTCCCGCTCAGCAAGGCCTACCACGTGCTTCAAGGCGGACCTAGGACCCTGCTAATGAGGCTGAGCACTGCCGGACCTGCAGAGGCATAAAACAGAAACGTATCAGCCTTCAGATCAGGGAGGGAGCTCCTCTACGACCCGATGGACTTTTGATCCTAAATGATAGTGTCCTCCCATCCATGGGAAACGGCTAAACGGTTCCACGATAGGACTGCAGCTTTGAGGGACTCTCTGATTTATGTGATGTCTTGATCAATTGGTGGCTCCTAATAGCACTTTACTTAATCTGTTGCAAACATGCACTGCATTACTCATGATTTATTTCTATTAATTCTGTTGTTGTGTCCTAAGTGATCCCCTGCATTGGTCTCCTCTGGCAGCCCAATGGTATTCACTTATTGAAACTACGTACAGTTCTATTCTATAACGTTTAAACTTCTCTCTCTACCTTAATCAATATATTTGTGCATTTGATGTCTTATCCTATCTCTTATCAAAAACAAAAATGTGCAGTACTCATAACATTCTCATTTATAATATTGATCATTGTCCATACAACAATGTTTGTTACTCTGCACAACAAAAATAAAGAATTATAAAAAATAAAAAAAATAATAACCAAACTATAACCAGATGTTTTACAAGAGATTGTTGATAAAATTGTTGCATGTAATGTGTTAAAATGCCACTAGGAAAATGCCACTATAGTATCTAGTTTCTACAAATGTATATTTTTTTTTTTGCTCAGAAGCTTTGGATTTTTGAATCACAATTAAACTTTGGTCTCAGGATAGGGATGTTTGCAAGGAAGTTCCTCCCTTGTATTTTTCAACCTATATTTTCTCAAAACTGATTGGATTCCTGTGAAAAATCTCCAACGTTAGGACAAATAAAGAAATCTTTTTTTTTTTTTTTTGCACTCGCTATGGAAATATATTATGAAAATAACTTTGAAAAAAGTTTATTTCATTGTTTTAATTATATTCAAATTTAATGTGATGTTAAGCATATCTATGGTACATCATAAGAAATCTCCAAATGTCCATTGCTCCTTCCTTCCTCCAGTTCTGATGCTCAGTCCCCATTGAAGGTACTTTTGGTGGTGGACAGGGGTCATTATGGGCACTCTGACTGGCCCCATACACAGCTACTACAATGCACTGTGTGTTAGGATTCTGTTAGTGACTATTAGAAATCTCTGGGCCAACCTTAGGACACAGTGCAACTTGGATAAGGACAAGTTAGTGTTAATAGGAAAACACTGTGTGTTAGTTAGGGTTCTGTTAGTGACCATATCATATTAGAAATCTCTTGGCCAACCTTAGGACAAAGTGCAACTTGGATATGGACAGGTTAGTGTTAATAGGAAAACAACTGAATGGTAGAACTTTTAAACAGGGAGTTGTAAAATAACTTCAAGTTCATAAGCAGCTTTAGGAAAAGGGATGAGCAGAATACATTAGAGGCAATGGGTTCGTATGATCACTCATTCCTTTAGAAGCATTTACACATTCCTCTAAAACGAGATATTAAGCTCAGGATACATTATATGCAGCACCAAAACATTATACAGCATACTAGAACACCAATAATACTTAGGATCATAGTACATAACAAACTAGCAGTAGGGAGACAATCGACAAGGTGGTTAAAGAGATCACCAGGCCCGTTCTTGCCCTCAATATCATTTTGCTTATATCCCATAAACCTTAAGCCTATTGAGCTTGGTAATGTGATGTGTGATATCCAGTGCCTGCTTGGAAATGTAGCTGAAGCATTCTGTAGATATTCGTCTGAATTCATCCCTTCCATTGGACTGATAAAAGATAGTCTTTGGAGAGATAGTTTTGGAACTCTACCAGCTCCTTGATATATCAATATATATCTGTACAGAATATGAAATCAGACGTGAATCAAACATGAAAAATCAATGGGAATTCTTTCCAATATGAATTGCTTCCTTGGGGACTACCCCAAATCCACACAAATAGCTGATACAAATGGAACAAAAAAGAGATTACTGCCGATCCTAAAAATAAACATACAGCACAATGATAGTGTCGTACTAAGAGTACCAATAAATCCATTATGTATATATTTCACCCACAAATGCCTGGAATAGTAATGAAAGTCTTCACGGTCCCTGATGAAGGGATCCAGCTCTAATACGCATCAAAATATGTATCTAATAAAACAAAATAAATACCAAAAGCAAAAGTGCAGGATGCTTGTGCTAACACCAAAGCACATATTTATTATACGTAAGTTAAAAACGACACAATCACAGCTTATCAAATATCACCAATCTCTGCTGACTGCACCCAACAAGTATTGTCACAGTGCTATGTGACTGAGGAAATCACGTAGGATTCCAACGAAACAGACTACTATTTACCCATAGCCAAGAAAACACAGCAGATAGTAAGTCTGAAAGGTCATGTGCTGCAATAGTAAATGTAAAAAAGGGTGCTTATCTGTTTAATAAATGTGTCAGGAGAAAGATACATGCTGTCAGTACTACATTCTGTTGTGGCTCTCAGTTTACTCAGAATCTCTCTATTTAAAAGGTTAATAGGCTGTCCAATCACTACAAGGGATGAGTGGTTTATTTAGGGGGTCTACCCTTACATTTTATCATATGAATATAGGATAAATATGGGGCTTTCCCTCAATTCTCATAACAGTCTTAATAGGAGTAGAGATAAGAGTGTTTGGATCTGTCAAAGTACATGTTGTTTAGTGTCCACTAAACAAAAATACACATTTCCCCCATCTAGAGAGGTGGTTAGACAAGCGTATATCGAGTAGACATGTGCAATTCGTTTCGGTCCGAATATGAATTCGGACGAACTTAGGGCAATTCAGACATTAGGGTACTTCCGAATTGCTGAAGTGCCGAATTGCCGAGGTCCCGAAGTTCCGATATTACAGAGTTTCCCAAGTGCCGAAGTTCTGAAGTGTTGAAGTGCCTAAGTTCCGAAGCACAGTATTGCCTAAGTACTAATATACTTACCCAGTGAAAGAAGAAGAATGTTACATTGTATACAATTTTAAATAAAAAGTATACAAACATAGCCAGGATTCAGCTGTAAGCATTTGCAACACTTACACTAATCAAGTAACATACATTAATATAAAATGTAAGTTACTTAAGGTTCCTAGGAGCAATATGCGACTAACTCTCAGCAAAGGGCAGTTTGCGTTTTTTTTTTGTTTTTTTTTTAATATATAAGGGGAGAAGGCAAAGGAAGGAAGAAGGGAAGAGGCGAAGAAAGGGAAGGGGAAGGAGTAAGAAAAGAGATAGACCAAAAGGGGGATAAAAGCCTTTCAGGATTTATTGTAAATCCCCCTCTCTTTCTGCATTGAATGTGACCGAATTGTAATGTTTTTATACACATTTTTTGTTATTTTTCTTTTGATGTTTATTGTCTAATGTCTGATTGTTTATTTTTGTAACAATGTTTGTGAATTCCTTTTTTTTTTAAAAAGAAAGAAAAAGAAAAGAAATATTATAAAGGAAAAGGGAAAGGGAAAAGGAAAAAAAACTAAAACTTTTTCAATAAAGATTAAATATATAATAAAATGTAAGTTACTTAGCCAGTCAGTGTAATGACAGGAATGAATAAGTAGATAACTCCCTAATTCCCACGATATTAGGGAGCTATCTACTAAAAGGCTGAAAGACCTAAATTGGTCTTTCAGCCAAATTTACTAATACTAAGTAAAGATTACTTAGTATTAGTAAATTATGCCCCTACTCGTTATACCGCGAGTTGGGGCATGTCTATTAAACAGTGAGCAAAAAAGGACCTATTGCCTCCCCCCCTGGCCCTCACCCCTGAGCAGTGGATGGGGGCCCTAAATACAAATAAGGGGGGACACCTAATGTCCTGGCCCCCACCCCTGAGCGGCGGGTGGGGGCCCTAAGTTGGAATAAGGGGGACCTAATGTCCTCCCCCCTGGCCCCCACCCCTGAGTGGTGGGTGGGGGCCCTAAATACTAATGGGATGGGGGCCAGGGGGGAGAACATTAGGTCCCCCCCTTATTTTACTGTAGGACTCCACCCACCACTCAGGGGTGGGGGCCGGGGGGAAGGACAATAGGTCTCCCCCCCATCATTTTGCTTTAGGGCCCCCACCCACCGCTCAGGGGTGGGGGCCAGGGCGGGCAATAGGTCCTGCTCACTGTGTTAATTAATTTGGCTGAAAGACCAATTTAGGTCTTTCAGCCTTTTGGTAGATAACTCCCTAATACCGTGGGAATTAGGGAGTTATCTACTAAGCGGCTTCAAGATAAGTCCCGAAGTGCCATAGTCCCGAAATTCCGAAATGCCGAAGTTCCGAAGTGTCGAAGTGCCGAAGTTGCCAAAGTTCCGAAGTTGTAGAAGTTCCGAAGTGTTGAAGTGCCGAATTGCCGAAGTCCCGAATTGCGAAAGTCACGAATTTCAGAATGCCGAACCGAACCGAAAATTTTCCCCATGCACATGCCTAATAGAGAGGAGTTGGGTTTCAGGTGGGTCCCCAGTTTACATTTGAGGGCGAGGGAAATAATTGTCATGTCTGTGTCCCTGCCCTTGCTGGAAACCATCCATGCCTTCCCCTCCCCTCTGCCCACCCTGTGGACACCCCTGGGACCTCAATCCTTAAAATGTTTGCGTACAGTTGCAATTGCCAGTATTTGGTAGCTTCGTCCTAATGTCAGCCTGATACTGTGTTTTTAAAATACTTCTCAGCAGAAGTATGTTTAAAACACAGTATTATTTATTTATTTATAAAAAATTTCACCAGGATGGATACATTGAGATTTCTCTTGTTTTCAAGTATCTCCTAGGTCCACATAACATTGCATTGTTACAATAGGATACAATATCACAAAAATACAACATACAAACTATACATAAATATATATATGTATATATATACACATATATAAATTTAATACATAACAGGTAATAAATATATTCAAAACAACCAGGAAAATATAATTCAGGAAAAAAGGATTCTTGGCAGATCTACAATAATAATAAACATAACATAGCGTAATACAGTATTTGAATACAAAATTGCTGATGTAAGGTAGAAAACTCACAAACGAGATGAATCAGGCTTCTCACCCCACCAGAGGTTAAACGGATAGAGAGGATGGTGGCTTTCAGATTATAGGAATCCTTAAATATGTGGAGGAAAAAGGCCACACATAGTGATGTAAAATTTAAATACAAATACATTTTATTAGATTGCACTTACAGACAAGATGAAAGTCGTGAGCATATCTCCACGTCAAGTGGAACTCAATAGCAGCGTAGTAGGTCGGGGTAACCAATCTCAGCAGCAGGAAATAAAACAAAGATATGTATAAAATTAAAGTCCATAAAAAGAAAGATCCAACGTGTTTCGGCCAATAGGGGGACTTCTTCAGGGTACACTTTAAAACATTAAAGATTAAAAAAAAATAGAGGGGAGTGGAGCTTGCCAGCGCAGCTGAGCGGACACTATCTATTTGGATTCCCTGCGGCAAAAAGGATGAACCGGGGCAATCCAACCCCAGCGACACCACCATCAGCTTGGGGAACTGACCCGCTGGCCACCGATGCCCTTCTTCCAGCCGCCGAAATCGGGCAAATTTAAGCACAGATCCGGGGCCTACAAAGCACCGGCCTACATTAGCTGGGACACACTTCTTGGAGGTGCAGTACTTACCAGAGCCGACGAGATACCTCCACAACCCCCACAGAGTCCCACAGCAAATCCGGTGGACATGAGACGCAAACAGCAAAAGCCCTCGCACGGAGATGTCCAGGACTTAAGGGACATAAGCACAATGCTGAAAAAGTCGGCACCATCCAAAATAGTGGCCAGGGAGAGCGGGAGCACGAGGAACACCTCAGACAGGATGGAACACAAGGGGACACAGGCCACATTGGCGAGGGATGAAACAGATACCACACATCTTGACTCCAAAACCAGCAACCTAGCCACTAAGCAGGACTTACAAACCCTCTTACTGAACATACAGAAACTACTGGCAGCGGACACAGTGGCAATTAAAAAGGACGTTCAGCAGGTCACAGACCGCGTCAGTGCCACAGAGAATAACATACAAGATATCTGTACAGAGATAACAACCCTAGCCAAACTTCGGTCCGCTAACCAGGTACTTACCTCACAAATTTCAGTGCTAGAAGACCGCCACAGGCGTAATAACGTCAAGATTTGCGGGGTCCCTGACACAGTAACAGCTGAGGAACTGCCCCACTACCTGCGACGCCTAGTGGCCTCTGTGCTACCAGCCCCAGCGGCGAGAAAATTTGCTATTGACGGGGCGTATCGCTTACCTGGTCCCACCAAGGCACAAACAGCTGCCCCCAGGGATATTATCCTCCGTCGCATATCACATCAGGACAAAGGACACTTGCTGACAGCCCTGAGGGACAAAACCCCATATACATTTGAAGGCTCCCAGCTCACGGTCTACCAGGACCTCACAAGGGCCACCCTACAATGGCGCAGATCTCTACAACCTATCACATCTCAACTCCGCACGGCAGGGATCACATACAGGTGGGGGACCCCACGATCCCTACTGGAAGGAGCCACACACAAGCTGGGAACTGTCTCCGAAGGACCAACGCTCCTGACCGCACTGGATCTACACATGCCCACCGCTATCCCATCTGGGCCGCCTAACCCTGGAGGCTGGCATCCAGCTAACATCGTGATATTTGAACCAAGAACTGGTGCAGCCGCACCCCCACCAACCTGACTATATAACTTGCTACAGAAAATCGCACCAAGGCTGTTACCCATTGTGTGCCTGTGTTTCCTTTATGTTTGCTTGTTTTCTTTTTCTTTCATGTTATCCACAAATATTCTACAGCTCTCTCACACTCTTGACCACCCAGCCAACCATGAAATACATGCCCACCACGCTAAAGCAGCACGAGTGATATAGCCTGACACTGCCTTAAAAGGCGTCTAATATACGGCACCTACGCGCGGTCACAGATCAATGATCCCCACTGGCAAACAATTTTTATATACCCCCCCGCCACCCCCATGGTTAGGGGCACCCCACGAAGAGGAGAACCCCAACACCAGAGGTGCTCAGACCTACACTACTAGCATGGAGAAGGGCTACTGCCCCCCTCATAACACAACGGGCACCACCGGTCACACTCCTTACTTCACCCCTCACTCTTACTCTACTCTCCTGGTTCAACATGCAAAACACAACCCTCATGCAATCTCTAGATCGAGTCCTGCTCCACCCCCTCAACCTGTCATTTGTAAATGTAATCTTGACTCGTGTTACCTTAACTACCATATAAAACGGTGCTGATACCCTAACAAGTGATATGATCTTGTACCATCATCTTAACTGTCTTGCTGATGTCTTGAAGCATTAATATGTCTATGCAACGCACCAACAAAATAAAGAATTAAAAAAAATAAAATAGAAATATACTGTAAGCCTATAAGAATTGTTTATTTTGTTATAGAACATCCCCACTTTCTCATTTGACAGTGATGTAAAAGACAAGATTCCAGCTTCACGTTCACCAAATAAAGAAATGTCAAAGGGGAAAGAACGTCCAGAGCGAAAAACCGATCTGCCCCGCTCTAGAACTATGCCAAAATCATATGGAAGAGCTACGAAAAAAGATATTGCAGAGAAGTTTGGAGGGTAAGAATCAACTGAGAAAAAAATTGCATCAATGGCATGTTATGTGGGGAATATAGATAGCCTCCCACTAGTGGCAACTGAACAGCATGTAAATGGTAAGATGTATTAAATGGAAACTGTCATTTATTAATATTATGCTTACTTATCCTGTTTATCCTATATATTTAACAAATATATATTTGTGATGTGTGAAAAATAGATTTAAATGAAAAAAATCTACACCTTTTTGTCCTACAACAGGGTGCTTCCATCTTAGCTACCTTGCATTCACTGTAGCAAGCTCTGTCCTTTGCCCCTGGCAATTTGTAAACTTGGAGATTCATTTTGTTACAAATTACAAGTCGTCTGAAGCTGGGTTGATTGGGTGAACCGCTTATGAACCACCACATAAACTGCAGGTGGTCCTCACTTTACGAAGGCTCACACTTACAACCAGCTCTTTAGCATGGGGATTCAAGGGATTCCCCATGTTAGAGAGCTGTTCTTTATGCATGGAATTTTCCCCAAACATATATTAGAGGGATTCCCTGCTCTGGTGCATATATCTCCGTTCGGGTAAATTTCCCCAAACATAGACAAGTGCACCACAGCAGGAAATCCCTCTAATCTATATTGTGTATGATTTGTGCCCCCCTAACACCCTAATATTACTTGTTATATAGGGGCCAGTCGGGTGCTGACCCTTTAAGAGCTGACCGGGCCCCTGTGAAATCAGCCGGCAGAGAGGAAGTGACAGCCACTTCCTCCCTGCTGCACAGAGAGCTTCCCGAGCGGGAGGACTGTAAGGAGGAGGCAGCAGAAGAGAGCAGGATGGAAGCAGGTTGAGGAAAGGGTTGTAGTGAGCTGCTGCAAGCCACCCTCCTGGACACAAAGGTAAGCGAACAGGAGGGATGCTGCAAATCTACAAAGAATGACTTGTGTGCATGTCAATATGTGTATGTGTCAGTGTGTATCTGAGTGTATGTGCCAGTTTTTGTATCTGTGTGTCAGTGTGTGTATCTGAGTGTATGTGTCAGATTGTGTATCTGAGTGTATGTGTGTGCCTGAGTGCCAATATGCATCTGAGTGTATGTGTCAGTGTGTCTATCTGAGTGCCAGTATGTATCTGAGTGTATGTGTCAGATTGTGCATCTGAGTGTATGTGTGTGCCTGAGTGCCAATATGCATCTGAGTGTATGTGTCAGTGTGTCTGTCTGAGTATCAGTATGTATCTGAGTGTATGTGTCAGTGTGTCTGTCTGAGTATCAGTATGTATCTGAGTGTATGTGTCAGTGTGTCTATCTGAGTGCCAATATGCATCTGAGTGTATGTGTCAGTATGTCTGTCTGAGTATCAGTATGTATCTGAGTGTATGTGTCAGTGTGTCTATCTGAGTGCCAGTGTGTGTCTGAGTGTGTGCCAGTGTGTGTATCTGTGTGCCAGAGTGTGTGTATGTGCCAGTACGTGTATCTCTGTGAGTGTCTGTCTGTGAGGGAGGGTGGGGGTGAGTGAGCGCAGGGGTGTCAGAGGGGGGAGGGTGGGGTGAGCGCGCGTGTGTGTGGGGGGGTGATGCAGTAGCTTGTGCAGCCACCTCCATGAAATGCATTTTTGCATGTTGGGATGTCTGCTATCGCCCTTAAAGGTTGTTGGGAGCAGTGTTCAGTTGAGTTTTTTTGCATGAACCTTATATTAAAGTGACTTCCCAATTGTCTGCTACTGCTGCTACCTCTTCCCTGGGCTCATGTCCAAAGGCTGCTGCTCCCACTGTTCTGATTCTGAGTGAATCTCTTTTCTGCTAGTGTGCCACCTCTTTCCATGGGATTACATCCAAAGGCTGCTGTTCTGATTTCAAAATTCAAATACCCCCCTTTAGGGATTGTTGGATATAGGGTTTAGCTAAAGTGCTTCTCCCTGTATAACACTGCAGTGTTTTATTAACTTTGTTGCAAGGACCTGATAATATTAAAGTGACTACCTGACCGTCTGCCACTACTACCTCTTCACTGGGCTGACGTCCGAAGGATGCTGCAGCTGTTCTGTGTCTGAGTAATTCTTTTTTTTGCCAGTCTACTAACTCTCTTCCTGGACTCATGTCAAAAGGCTGCTGCTGTTCTGACTTAAAAAATAAACTGTTATCCTTCTCTAGAGGTTGTTCGTACAGCTGTCCTTGGGCTCACATCTAATTTTTTTTTTTTAAATCTGGCTGTGAGTGTCTGCACTGTGCAAAGTGTGCATACAATTGCAATGTATATATGTATATTACATATGCAACTTGCATGACTACTAGCCAGTGCTACCGTACTAGTAGCCAGCCATTATCCTTTCTTTACAAGTTTTATTTTTATTTTTTATTTTGCTTTATATCCTATATTTTTTATCTTTATTTTTGCTTTCAGTTGTCATTAACCCTGTATGTCTTGATTCCTTTCCTATAGAGATTAATGATTCACATTTGTTAGTTCACCTAAAATTTTAAGCAACTTTCAGCTGAAAGGAAAAGGCTTGTGGCAAAGAATCGGTCAAACTGAAAAATTTGTTGTTTTTTTTTATATTTTTGTATTTAACAAAAAAATATTATAAAAGTTAATCAAGGCATTGGCTGGAAAAAGTTGAATTGAATCTTACTTTGCAACTCTTACTTGCAGTAAATTTAGAAATTTTGCTTTCCATTCACCACAATGTACTGTGAATAAACACAATACAATTATGCATTTCTGGGGTTAGTAAAGAAAAGTCTGTTAAAGTCTGTATGTGAAGTTTTCTAATACAGGTGCCTTACAGGGTGGCTACATCAGGTGTTCGTGTCCAGAGATCGACAAGTTGTGGAGCAAGTGCGGTGAAGAACATGTTACTGGATTGGTGCCGGGCAAAAACAAGAGACCATCAGGTGAGAAAGAGAGTTTTGTAGATACATTGATAACAAAATTATTAAAGTGAGTTTATCACTTTTACAGGGACACTCCAGGCATTTTATGGATTTATTAATATGCTGTATTCTCTGCATACAACACCGATTTTTCAAATGTAATCTTTGATATTTTTGATATATTTGTAAATAAATGTAACACGGATGTACAGAAGCCTGGATAAACTTTGCTTCACAACCATTGACTCTTTCATACATAGGCCTCAATTTGATTTGTTTGCATGAAATCAGATTTCCATTTTCTGCTAGACTTTTTTTTTAAATTATATATCAATAATGGTGACTTCTGAAGATAAATAATTTTAAAAATTGTTTTTTTTTCTATCAGAATAGAGTCATTTCTGATTCAAACAAATTGAATTAAGGTCATAGGTGTTAGTATTAGCAGGGAATAAATGCCAACCAGAAAAGGTAGATTACCATCTGATACTCAGCCAAAGCTAATCACTTAATCATGTAATCAGGGCTTATTTCAGGACAAACTCATAGGAACCTCATTCCAGGTTCTTTTTGGAATTTGCCAGATAAGATAATGCTCAGTCAGTCCCAATCTTTTTTTCTGCAAGTATAGGAAAGACAAGCTTTAGCAAGTTCTACAGCACTAATGCTGAATTAATAATATATTGACCTTTCACAAAGAACAATAAACCCACGAGTAATCAAGAAATGGTTATTGTTAGCATATAGGGGGTGTCTGTAACAATTATTGTAAACATCATCAAAGGGGAACTGTTTTTATTTCCACATTTTTTAGCATTATGTCTACCTATTCATTATATTTAACAATATGTATTTATGAGGCATGAAAAATAAAATGAATAGTAAAGGTCAGCACCTTTTTATCCTGTATTTCGGCACCTAGTGGTCAGCATAGAGAAGACATACAGATAGAGATGAAATTAAACAATATTTGTATGTTTCTTCCTTATTTACAATATGTGTTCAAGCAGTGCCTGGACTGAACTGGGTTGTGATGTAATTTGCTTTTAAAAAAGGACAAAAAAAAGTGTTGAACTTTACTATAATTTCTTTTCACACCTCAAAAATACATATTGTATATGCCACTCACTTCTATGAGTCATACTAGTCCATCAAACATTTGGTGTCAAAGTGGTGCCCTCAGCTTATTATTTTTCTCATACAAAGTTATTTATGAGCTGCATTTTTTAATCAGAGGCAAGACTTTACTAGATATTATTTTTGATTTCTCATAAGTAAAACTAGCTTATTGGGCAATTGCATTGAAGTGCATGCGAAGGTTGTGAGATTAATTTAGTAGGTGTAATAAAGTAAAGATGTTGAGAGATGGAACATCGAAAAAGAAACATTGGTTCTAATCTGCTGCCTGTCACAGCATGTGTTTCAATGTTATTATTATCCTGTTGAAATCAGGAATGCCATTCTAGGAAGCCTATTATCAGATTAAAGATGATGTATTACCAAGACAATAAGTACACTGAGTGTCTTTACAGGCTATTCAAAGTACTCTAGTAGTTCATTGTTTCTATAAAGGGAACCTCTCATGACTTATGCTACTTTAGCGCTATTTTAAAGAGTTTAATTTTGGTAGCAAATATATAGTTTGAGAGAAAAATCCTATTTCTCTCAATTGAAGAACATTCAATGCCGAAGAATTAAGATACAGGCTGGGGCAGACTAGACCTCCAATAGGAGATTCCTTTGTTTCTCCACCCATAGACACGACAGCTTTTGCATTGTGGCTGCTATGGTAACTGCCTAGACATCACTGCTAGCGCTGGCTAGGGAGTATAGGAATGGAGTGATGTGGCATCACTCTGAACAGATGCCGGCACAGTGGCAACAAAGCCAACAAAACATCATGGAGTATGTTTGCCCTGCTTGGGAAAGTATCCCCAAGCAGGGCAAATCAGCAAAAAAACAGAGGAGGAGCACGGGCAGACTGGGGGTGGTTGTTATAGAAGTGAAACCTCCCACCCCCCAATCATATTCACGGAACAGCTAATTTAATTATTTAAAAACAATCTATGCTTTATTATATGATATCATAGGTAGTTCCTGTTTGAAAATTTACTACGAGAAAACAAGTTTAAACAGAATAGAAAAACTATAAAGAGCACTAAAGAAAATACTAACTTAATAATAAATGAATAAATGGTTAGATTTCACATCAGCTTTACGGGACATTACACAGTGTGTGTCACATTTGGAATCTCACTACAAGATTCTATACAGATGGTATCTCACTCCCTCCAGGCGTCTTAAGCTGCAATTGTCTCCTACCAACAAGTGCTGGAGTGTGTGTGGTCAGGTGGGTTATCTTTTGCCAGACGCTGTGGACATGCCCTAAACTGCAGTCTTACTGGGATGACATTCTTATTTTTAATAGACTTATTGATGACTTCCTAATCACACTAACACCTGAACTATGTTTGTTCAAAAAGATTCCTGACAATTCACCTAAGCACAAACGCATAATTTTAGGACATATTCTCATCTCAGCCACTATGGCTCTACCACGTCACTGGAAATCTCCTGTATTTCCTGATATTAGGAAATATGTTTGAAAATATGAGATGTGAACCTATGCTTAGAGCACCATCCAACACACTTGGCCTTCTTAGACATGAATGGGATATCAGAGAAAAAGACATCAGAAAGAGGTACAACAAACATACATCCATAATCCCACCTGTCCACGATGGGAAACACATTTTATGACATTTTGCACCATGATACCCTATTATTGATGTATTAATATTTTACTACTACTGGATAATTGTTTATACCATTAAACCACGGTTTGTTTGTTGTATCAGTATTAAACTTTTTTTTTTTCAATTTGACAATTTTTATTGTTTTGGAGTACAGAAAGGAAAAAGGGGATGGGGGTCATGCAAGTAAACAATTTAAGCGTCATTACATTCGTTGCATTACATTTCCTGATCTCCGTAGTTCTGTAGTTTTTACCCATGGCTACATTTGCAACTTCTTATCGTGTTGGGATGGGGATGGGGTACAGAAGACAAGAGGTGTGGGTACACGGTGGGGTGTGTGTCAGTGCTATTAGAGGTTTTAAGAGGTTTATCGTGAGGCCCTCCATTTCCGTAGCTCTTATACCTGTGTCGGGTTGTACATCGTATATGCGGTGAATCTTCCTCCCCTCCCCTCGTGTCTCCCTGGCCCTTGGGTCCGCTGAGAGCGGGTTCCGTGTCTCCCTGAATGTTCCAGAGAACCTTGTGTCCCTTGGGGTACCCTGTCTCCCGTCCTGTTCCCTGCTCAGAAGCCGTGTGGCCCTGTTCTCCACTCGGGGGCAGGTTAGCTCGTTCTTTAATCTGTATCCAACTGTGCTTGTGTTGACGGGTATGCTCATGCCCCTATTGTCTACCTGTAGGAATGGGTATCTGGTAGCGGGGGGGGAAACTGGGATAACAAGTTAACTCGTATGTCTTCGTTAGTTTGGTTTGTGTTGTCTATTTGGAACTATTTTGTCCTGTTCGCTGGCCCCTTGTGAGTTGCTAGGGTCTCGGCCTTCTGCGTATGTGGCCCAGAGTGCTTTCGCTGTGGCGTTTTCCTTACCCATTTTTGTTTGGTTTCACATTATTCCTTCGTATTCTAATGTTGTCATAACCATCGTTACTAACTCCGCTAGGGATGGGATCCCTGGGGTTTTCCACTGTTTTGCTAGTAATGTGGAGGCTGCCGTTAATGTTAGGAATATTAGCTTGGTGATACAGTGTAGTATTAAACTTTTTAATAAAAACAGTTTGAAAAGAAAACACTAACTTGCGTTTGTCTCTCTTTTTCTCTCCTTTCGCATTTTACTTTTATCTACAAGGGTGTTGAAATACAGAATTTCTCCAGCAGTTGGAGCAGTGGCCTTGCTTTCTGCGCACTCATCCATGCCTTCTTCCCAGATGCCTTTGATTATGATTCTCTTGACCCAAAGAACAGAAGAGGGAACTTTCAACTTGCATTCAGCACTGCAGAGTAAGGGTGGTGTCCTGGGGAGAAGACTTGGGGTTGTAGAAGAGAAGACACAAGAGATGATTAGGGAGGCAGTTCCAATCATTGCTAATATGGGAAGTTTGTACGTAAAGAGATACTATAGTGCCAGGAATACAAAGTTGTATTCCTGGCACTATTGCAGCACTAAATTCAAAAGGGACACTATATCCAGACCATTTCAATGAGCTGAAGTGGTCTGGGTGCCTACAGTGTCCCTTTAACTACTGTAATAGAAAAAATTTAACAGTTAATTTGAAACAGTCTTTGGAGCCCTCTATGAACCTGAACCCATGCATACCTTAGTCCTACTCCTAATCCCTATACTACCCTAACATACAACACTACACATTAAAGGACCACTATAGGCACCCAGACCACTTCAGCTTAATGAAGTGGTCTGGGTGCCAGGTCCAGCTAGGTTTAACCCTTTTTTCTATAAACATAGCAGTTTTAGAGAAACTGCTATGTTTATAATAGGGTTAATCCAGCCTCTAGTGGCTTTCTCATTGACAGCCGCTAGAGGTGCTTCCGCGCTTCTCACTGTGATTTTCACAGTGAGAAGATGCCAGCGTCCATAGGAAAGCATTGAGAATGCTTTCCTATGGACTGGCTGAATGCGTGCGTGGCTCCTGCCGCGCATGCGCATTCAGCCGATGACGTCGCTATGGAGGAGGAGAGTTTAACCCCTTCCTCCACATAGAGCCCGGCGGGAGGGGGACCCTGAGGTTGGGGGCACCCTCAGGGCACTATAGTGCCAGGAAAATGAGTATGTTTTCCTGGCACTATAGTGGTCCTTTAACTCCTACATTACCTTAATAGACTACACTACATATTAACCACTACATTACTCGAACATGCTTCACTATCACTAAAAGTTGACCCTTACATTGTAACACTAAACATTAACACTGCACTAACGCTTATTACCCCTGCTGTTCCCTAATACTAACCTGAACACTTCTTTAACACGTACACTATCCCTAACACTAACCTAAAAATTTAATTTAAAACATACATTATGGTGAAACATGTAGCTGGGTAATACAATGGGGTTCTGGATATAAATATAAACCACACTGTCAGTGGTCAATGGGTCTCATTACTTTTTAATATAACTTGTGTACAAGGGAGCCCAGTCACTTAACAGTGTTCAAATCCACCCTCCACTTGTAAACCTTCTATACCAAAAGAAATATTAAGTATTATATGAAGTGAAGGAGATTTTACTTAATCTTGTTCTAAAATAAACTCTGCAAAATAAAACAGCTAATAAGTTAGTAGGTACAGAGTTCCAGCCCTGTCAAACAATACCTTTGATCCTCACCTCCCCTTTTCATAGAGCATGTCACAGATACAAAAAAAAGAAAGTAATTTTACTGTTTTGTTGCTAGTCTGATATTTTCAATTCAAGTCCGTTATTGTGCGTTGTATGCAGATCGGCCAATAAGTAACTCATATTAATTCACCGTTTAATGGCCTCTGCTAATGCAGTCAAGACTGGACTACCAACTACCAGAAAACACACTCAGGGTTACTTTTGAAACTGAGCATTCAAGGTGAATTTGAAGTGAATTTCAAATTTAAGACCAGAATAGCCAAAGTAAAAGCTTAGCTGGCATACAGAATGTTTCCAGTTTGGCTATATTGAACTTGCATTTTAAATTCACCTTGAATTATCACTTTACTGAATAACCCTGAAAGTCTTTGTTATAACTTCAGAAAATGTTGAATTGGAGAATGGAATGTGGAAGAGAAGGACTTGGGACTAAAATAGGAACAGTTAAAGAGAGGCACTGAGAAACATTTAGAATGTCTATACTATTTATAGACACTGTATGTCCCTAGGCAAGCAGACTAAAGGGTCAGTATAGTCACCATAACCACTACATGCCAATGTAGTGGTTATGGTTCCATTAAGCTGCGGATGGTGTTCCTGCTGAGACTGTTTTCAGATAGTGTAAACAAAACATTGTGTCCCCATGGCACCTGAGGCCCAGCCTCCTACTCATCCCCTTATTGACCATTCATTGACTGAGCACATCAGCTGGCATGCTTACCCAATGAATGGCAAAGGAAGTATGGATGAAAATTGTATTACAATCTTAGCAACAGGATGGAGTTGGTCGATGGGTGCCTCAGAGTTTTGCTCGAAAACAGATTGTCCAAAAACTAGGGATAGTTAGCGCCATACCCACTGAAGCCACTATTTAATTAGTAATGTATTATCTCTTATCAAACTCTGCTTCTCATCCTGTTTATATTTTGTTTTTTATTAAAAAAATGTTTCCTCCTTTCTGTTTTTTCTCTCTCATTTTCTGTTTTTCTGTTCACTGTAAAGTTCTCCCTTGTTACTACTATTATTACTTTCCCACTTTTCTATTTTCTCTCTCCAGACAACTTGCTGACTGTCCACCACTGTTGGATGTAGAGGACATGGTGCATATGAAGGTTCCGGACTCTAAATGCGTTTACACCTATGTGCAAGAACTGTACCGCAGCCTAGTCAGTAAAGGCCTTGTGAAGACTAAGAAGGCCTGAACCAACCACTGATTTTAAGTGTTCCTATAGGTGTTGACTAAGAAGTTCCTGCTCATTTTTACAAACTGGACTCTAACTAGATTAAAAACAAACAAAAAAGTGAATTTATATACTCTATCTAACAAATAAGCTACAATTACATAGTACTACAATGCATCATATGCACACCATAATTCTATGCCTTATGTACACTGTGCATTATATATACAAAATGCAACATGAAACACAGAATCTAAATATTGGAATTTGCATTGCAAACACACTACACAAAAACTGATATTATATTCATATATTAAAAATGCTGAGTAGATCATATTACCAGAGATATATTTATTTTTAGTAAATAGAAAATTAGTTTTCCTGTGTCCACAACAAAAAAATTGTAGATAAAAATAAATAATATAATTCTCTTGGCTATACAAGGCAGCTTTACATTTTGGGGTAATACCTCCCCTACCAACTGATAGAATAGGAATAAAAAACCCAAAAGCAGATAAGAACCCCTTACAGAAGACCTCTAGTCTCTTTTTTTCTGTCCATTCAGCAGGTCTGGTCAGGGAGCCAACCTTTCTTTTTTTTATCTTTTGGTTCAACCCGCTCCTTTTTTTGTACAGTGCTTAAACTTTTCTTGCTGGAAATCCCAGATGACATGCAGGTGACATCCTGAAGATTATTCTTAGTGGCTATAGAATTCAGTCTGCACTGACCACTGTCATAGTAGCATTATGTTGATAGGTATTGGCAAATAGTCTCACCAAGCTGTGTGTAGCTGTGGTGATATGAACAGTGCCTCACTCCCACCGCCCGCACCCTAAGTATCCTTAGAGATTTCATGGCTGTTAATGTTTATTGTGTTTAACCTCATTTATTTAATGTGCCTTTACTTCACTGGGGTTCTAGGTTTTCTGTCAGTTGTGGGTCAGTCCAGATAGTACCTCCAACAGATATTCTCACCCACATTAAGTAGTCTGTGTAGCAAGCTATTAAGGAGGCATCAGGAAATCTGAAGAGGAGGGAGGTCCAGAAGATGAATTCATCCTATGATAAGTGTGAGGCATCTAAGACAAGGAATATTCAAGACTTGGAGTCAGATAGAAATTTCTCAGCTGTGTTAAAATCTTCATATTTACCATAAGTTTATTTTCTCAGCTATTACGTTGCATCATTATGTTCACACACATGTTTGTCTAGTAATTAAAGAGGGGTTCCTCTGTTTCTGGTTCCTTCTTATAAAGACTTTGGTTTTCATCCTATAAGCTGAGAGGAAAGTAGCTGCCTATAAGTCTAATGCCGTGAGATAGCCAGGAATGAAAATAACAGCAAGTATGACGAAAGGTTTCTGTTTATCCATGGCATTAGACCCTAGCCCATAATAACATCATATACTCACTAAATACACTTAGACCCATTGCATGCTTTATATAGCATGCCTAATTTATGCACTTTGCACATGTTCATAAGAACATAGAACTTCACATTCACAAGCATGTACATTATGAAACATGGGAGCACCTTCAGAAGTTTTGGCTATAGCTGTGCCCCAGTAAATACATCATTTTGACCGGCATTAGGTTAATTTCATAATTAAAATAGCCCAGATAAAAAATCCTAACATCACTTTATAGTCTTATAAACCATTCTTCTTTGTAACTGATTCTACTTGCTTTAAAACCTTTCACTATCTGCTTGCCAGGGGCATTCTGATTCTTATAGTGGAGGATGATTAATTTAATAGCAAGACACGATACTGTGTTTATCCTAGGTTCTATGGAAGAACTCCTAAGCAATGCGTGGGTGTGGACTTAATTTTACTATCACCCTCTGATATAACCTGGCTACACTGCAGGGAAAGAACGGCTATTTTATTTTTATTTTGTCTTCAAAAAAGTTTTATTCTAAAATAAATATTCAATTATATCATTGTGCTAATCTGTATATGTATCCATCTATAACACAAATTTTTTAGAGATGTAGAAATATTTGCTCACATTTTGTTGTTTATCATTTATAACCACCCAAAAAAGCAGTACTAGAGATGTATTAGCATCAAAGTAATTTATTAAATATAATGGGAGGGCTACAATTGTCTGAGACGTTTTAGCCACACCCAGTCTTTGGAGGGCTCACAGTAGAAAGTTGCAAACCTGGATTATGTGCCTATTTCTTTATAAAGGATTTAACAAGTGGATGGAAATATGGATGAATGCACTACTTCAATCCCCAGCTACATTGTGTACAAAGGCAATTTTAACTCTGTGAATCATCAGTTCTCCCCAAATTTTATTTGGGTCCCACGAAAAATATTTTTTTGATTGGTACCTCTTTATATAAAGAAACAAAATGTGTTTACCTGCAAAAAAAGTATTTACTCATCTCTTATTCTATGGTTTTTAATATTGTGCATACGTATCTCCTATATAAAGCACTGAAAGCAACTATCTATTTGTGAGGTCTGGAAACGAACATTAAATGTACAAATCTATACTAGAGTATTTATCTCCATCCTGCATGTTGGTTCCACGTCAATCATCATTGTAAATGTTGACCCATTCTTTGCCTTTGTGAAAAGGAAGAAACAGAAATTATGTCTCTGCTCTCCTTTTCATTTCCATTATGTGCTCCGGAATGAACTGGATTGTGATTTCACTTCTTTTAAACTTTTATATACATTTAAAAGAAAATGGAGCACACCTGAGGAATACGTAATTCTTAAAGTTTTCTCAGTGATGTAATTTCCAGATAAGTAACAGATTCCAATCAATGACAGACTTTACTCTTTCTTCCAGCATGCTGAGTGGTGCTTCTTATTTTATTGAACCAAACTCTATATGGGAACAGTGAATTGTTTATATAAGTTAATTCTATATCACTGTTATTAATGAGAAACAATATTCAAAAAGTACCAGTTTTTGACTATTGTTATTATCCAAATACTTTATAATACTGCTATATTTGCATGTACCTACGTATCTGTGGATAAACTTTGTTATTGTGTTTATGGAACTGGAAAAAGTGCAAAAGTGGACTACACAATTAGTAATGCAAGTTTCATTTATAAAATAAGGTTAAAAAGTAATATGTATTTATACTAGTAAAAATGGTCTTATGAGAACATTATAGAAATATTTACAGTGTGGTTATAATGGCTGGTACTGGATTAAGGCAAATAGGCATTCACTTGGAGCACCAGCACAAAGATGGCCACGAATGGCCCAGCACTAGAGTTGAGAAGAAATTAAAGGAACACTATAGTCACCTAAATTACTTTAGCTAAATAAAGCAGTTTTAGTGTATAGATCATTCCCCTGCAATTTCACTGCTCAATTCACTGTCATTTAGGAGTTAAATCACTTTGTTTCTGTTTATGCAGCCCTAGCCACACCTCCCCTAGCTATGACTGACAGAGCCTGCATGAAAAAAAACTGGTTTCACTTTCAAACAGGTGTAATTTACCTTAAATAATTGTATCTCAATCTCTAAATTGAACTTTAATCACATACAGGGGCTCTTGCAGGGTCTAGCAAGCTATTAACATAGCAGGGGATAAGAAAATCTTAATTAAACAGAACTTGCAATAAAGAAAGCCTAAGTAGGGCTCTCTTTACAGGAAGTGTTTATGGAAGGCTGTGTAAGTCACATGCAGGGAGGTGTGACTAGGGGTCATAAACAAAGGGATTTTACTCCTAAATGGCAGAGGATTGAGCAGTGAGGCTGCACAGGCATGTTCTATACACCAAAACTGCTTCATTAAGCTAAAGTTGTTCAGGTGACTATAGTGTCCCTTTAAGTGACTTTGTGGAATGGGCCTAAGGAATAGAGATACCCACATTTACACATTTACAGCTAGGAGTGACAAGCAGAGAGAAGGGAGGAATGGTAGAGCAGAGTAGACATTTGTTGTATACAATTTAAATGTATGCCAACCAATCTATCAGCCAATATATTAATAACTAAATTTAACTGCAAGTAAAAATATTACTGTAGTAGACTATAGGTAAAAATGGTAGCATGATTATAGTAAATTAATGTAGTAACAAAAGTGAAATCAATTTGCTGTAGTATCTTCATAATCTCAGTCTGTACCTTAAAGGGACACTGTAGGCACCTAGACCACGTCAGCTAATTGAAGTAGTCTCGGTGCTGTGACCCTTTTGCATTTAGTGCTGCAATGTTAAACATTTCAGTTCTGGAGAACTGCAATGTTTACATTGCATCTCTGTGTCTGCCCTCTGTGGCTGCCTACCAGACAGCCACTAGAGGGCTTCAAACGGACTATTGGCCTGTTTTCTGACGCTGGACGTCCTTACAGACCTCCAGCATCAGATTTTCCCCAAAGGAAACCATAGAATAATGCTCTCCTATGCGTGCGCAGCCATTGCCACGCATGAGCATTAGGTCTCCCCCGCCGGCTGACGTCGGCAGAGGAGGAGAGAAGGCTGAACCTGACCCAACGTTGAGGGACATCGGCACTGGATTCAGGTAAGTGGCTAAAGGGGCTTTAACCCCTTCAGCCCGCAGGAAGGGGACCCCGAGGGAGGGGGACCTATTAATCCTATAGTAGCAGGAAAACAACTTTGTTTTCCTGGCGCTATAGGATCCCTTTAAAGTTGCAGTGTAGAATGAAATGGCTTGGTTTCAGATGGATTGTGCAATTGAGCCTTAAAGTTGCATGAATGCGTGGAAGGAGACTAAAACACCACGCTCCATATTTACTGAAATTTAGAATTTGAGCCCAAAAATTGATAGGACATTTCCTCATACATTCTTGTCTTAACAAGACAGTCTTGTACCATTTTGCATGTAGTATAGTAGTTTTTTTCCAAAGAAGTATTTATTCTGGTGCTGTGGAGAATTTGACTCCAATAGAGAATGAACCTCTACTGAGAGGTATTAATAGAATTACTTGATTAAGTTCCTATATGAATGGTTTGCATAAAAATTAGATCCAATTAGAGTAAATATAATAGCCTCCCTTATACTTATATGTACTATGTTTTTATAGTCATGCACATAATAAATTAAACAAATCATCCCTCTGAAGAAACTATGAACTCAAATTAAAAGAGTAGATACGAATATTTAGAATGTGTAAATATTCAAAAAAGAGTATCCAGGAAATATCTACAGTTGAACCGTGGGTAACAATGTACCAAATTCACCACTGAATAATAACAGGATAGGATACCTTTGGCAAAATTATTTGCCATATTGGGGGTAATTTTCTTTCCTGTGCTGCCATACTGTCTCAAAGATGGCATAGGCCCTGAAAATTACTTTGTCAGTTTTGAAATGGGCATCTAATATATTTGGCTCTGTGACTGCGAACCTTTGAAAACCGGATACATATGGGGGGGGGGGGTATTTCAAAATACGCCATTTGGAATACTCTGGGTTGCCTGTTTTTAAATATGGAATGCCATATTAGTGGAAATGTTATTACACAGGCTTCCATACGCACAAAAGGCTACATAAGCCCAGAAAATCACTTTGAAAAATTGCCAGGTATGAAGACTGAAATGAGCAAGCCCTATATTTGACCTTGTAGCTTTCCAAAACCCCATAAAATCTGAACATGTGGGGTACTGTTGTACTCGTGAGAAATTGATGAACACATCTCTGAGTGTTTTAGAGCAGCAATAATGACTGATATCAACAGAAAGATTTTCTAATTCTGGGTTAGGCAACCTATGGCACGCTAGATGCTGTGGACCCCTGATGATTTGCCAGCTTCATGGCTGTAAGAGCATTGTGAGAAATGCAGCTCATAACATCTGCAGTACAGAAGGTTGCCTACCCCTGTCCTAGTTAAAACAGTAGAATATACATGCAATGGCACAATGTTATGTAAGGTCAGTGACGTACCTACCACTGTAGCAGGGGCCACCACAACTTCCGGGGTGGTGCATGGCCGCACCGGCTTGAGGTTGCCGGTAGGCTGGCAGGAGGGGAGCCCTGTGCTGTGATGTCCCCTCCAGCCGGTCTCTGTGTAGTGTGGCCGACCGGATCACTGTCTTATAGGAAGTGCTCACTGAGAGAGCACTACCTTTCAGACCGGGTACCGCTCGACCATGCTACACAGAGTCAGAAGGTACAGGAGGGGAGAGGGTTGAGAGAGAGAATGAGACGAATGGAGGGGGGTTAAGAAAGGGAATGAGACAAATGGAGAAGCTGGGGGAGAGAGATAATGAGACAAATGGAGGGGCTGGGGGTGAAGGGAATGAGACAAATGAATGGGGAATGGGACAAGTGGATGGAGCTGCAGGGGAGAGGGAATGAGACAAATGGTGGTGGGAATGAGACATCGAGGGACTGGGGGGAGGGAATGAGACACATGGGGGAAGAATTAGACACGTGGTGGCGGGGGAATGAAACACATAGGGGGGCAATGTTTGCCTGGTGATTTCTACTTGCATCTCTGTGTAAGGTGGTTTCAATCTTTACATGTAACATTTTGTCTCTGAATGACTGACTAAAAGGGACACTCCCTGTCCAAATTACAAAAACAAATTATGATTTTGTAGATATGCCTCCAAAGAAAGCATGCATACATATATGAGATAGGGGCCATATATTACACCTAATAATTATTTATTTTTTTCGTTGGGGGTATATCTAAAACCAGCTTGCAAAGGCTGCAGATCTCTTTGAAGTCCTTCCCTTGTTCCCCATCCCAGACGTTATATGTCTATTTAATCACAGACTTCCCAATACAGCTCAGTTAGAAGCCTATGCAAAGCAGGTGCTCTGAGCAACCTGCCTCTTGAGTTTAGCTCCACTAAGCTAATTAAACCAGGTGGTAACAGGGTCAGGGGAATGTAACAAGTTTAATTTATTAAACTGTCAATTGCTATTAAAATCTCTACATTTTGTAAAATGAAAAGAAGAGGATGAACTCTTCACAATAAAGCTTTTCAGCAAGCTAAAGTGCTTTAGGGATCTGGTGTGTACCCTTATAACCCAGAACCATTTAACTGGGGGGAAATGGTGTGTGGGGCAAAATTAATGCTGTGTGGGGAATGCATTTCAGTAGTTAGTGGATAACTATTTTTATTAACAAATTAAGATTAAATAGCTTAAAAGATGCACTTATGATACCAAAACAACTCCATCTAAATGAAGTTGTTATGGTGCCAGGAGCTCTCTGGAAGCACTCTTATTTCAAGGGGTTAAACCGTTCTCGAATAGTAAATAATAGATTATTAATCTGATACATTGATTACCAATGGATGTACACTGGTCAGGAAGGACATGTATCATTTCCCCCCACCCCCCATAAAGTTTAGTAATATTGCACTACAAGCCAGAGCTGAAAATATTTTGCAAGAGAATCTCCTGGAATGTTTTCATTAAGTGAATATTTATTTTAGATTTTCTTTTTTTTGTGTGAGAGGGTGTGGATTTTTGAGCAGTCACAGAATTTACAGGAATTTAGAACTATGGATAATATTTAACTCTCTGTCTGTATTCCAAC